CGCGGCGGACGCCCGGAGCTCGACGGGCGACGCGGGCGGTTTCACGCCCGCCGCGGCCGCGGCACCGGACGGCGGCGGCGGCGCCGCGGCCGCGAGCGCGTCGCGGTCCGCTTTCGCGTCGCGCGCGTCGCGCGCGCGGTCCTTGTCGATGTCGACCTGGGCGACCATCATGAGCGTGTGCACCATGTGCTCCGCCGCGACGTAGGGCTCGAGCCAGGGCGCGTGGCCGAAGGCGTTCGCGAGGTCCGCCTTGAGCGCGGCGACGTCGTAGGGCAGGGACGTCGCGGCGGCGCGCGCCTCGACGAGCTCCCGGGCCTTGAGGTGGACGCGCTGGCGCTGCTCGTACTCCTCGAGGCCGCCCTTGAGCAGGGGCCGCGCGTGCTGCGCCGCCGTCGCCTCCGTGCGCGTCGCGGACCGGAACCACGACGTGCCCGCGTCGCGCTCCGCCGCCTGGGCCGCGTGCGCGGCGGCCGCCGCGGCGCCGTCGGCCCAGGGCTCCAGGAGGGCGCAGACCCGGTTGCGCGTGCGCACGAAGCCCGTCGCCGGCCGCTCGCGGCCCTCCTCGGCGGGCTCGCGCACGGCGCCGACCATGTCGACCTCGACCCACTCGGGGAGGGCGCCGCCGACGGGCGCGACGAGCCGGACGGCGTCGCCCTTGCCGAAGTCGCCGATGCGGTCGACGCTCCCAGGCTCGTCGCGGATGGCCACGGTGTTCACCGCGGCGCGGAGGTAGGCGACACTCATGGCTCGGCGGCGTACGAAGGCGACCAACCGCCGCGCACGCCGGGGCAGCGTCGGCGGGAGGATATGCCGGGCCGACGGTGAAGCGATTGGGGGTCGTGTCCGGGCTGGCCTGCCGACGATGGCCGGGGCCTACGAGCGCGTGCCGTCGTCGGCGGAGGAGCCGCCGCGCTCCGCGCGGCGCCGGCGGCTCGGGGGCCTCGCCGCCGCCGCCGCGCTCGCCGCCGCGCTCGGCCTCCGGTCGCGGCCCGGTCCGGAGGCGCCGTCGCTCCGGTCCGCCGGCGCCCTGCGCCCGTCGGCGGACCTGAAGCTCAAGCTGGAGAACCCCTACGAGAAGCGGCTCGGGCGGCCCATCGGCGACGCGCTCTACCCCTTCACGAACCTCGTCGACGTGAGCCAGGTCACGAACATCTCCCTCAGCTCCGGCGAGCCCTGCCGGTGGGTCGTCAACGGCAACGCCGCGGACGGCGGCGCCGCGGCGCCCTGGTTCGAGCACGCCTTCGACTACGTGGGCACGCACGAGATCACGGCCGTCCTCGCGGGCGGCGAGAACGCGACCTTCGACGTCGTGTCGCGCGTCGTCCGCCGCGAGCTCCGGGAGCTGAGCGACGGCGAGCGCGCCAAGTACTTCGGCGCGCTCTTCACGGTCTACGCGCTGAGCGACGACGAGGGCCGGGCCAAATACGGCGGCGACTTCGTCTCCGCCGCCTGGCTCGTCCGCGAGCATTTGTACGGCGCCGCCGACAAGGCGTGCGACCACTGGCACGACGACGCGGGCATCATGAACCACCACGTGGGCATCACCTGGCAGCTCGAGAACTCGCTCCGCGCCGTCGACGCGGAGACGGCGGCCCACTACTGGGACTACACCATCGACGCGCGGAAGCTCGACGACAACTGGCGCGCGAGCCCCGTCTTCGACCCGACGTGGTTCTCGCCCGCGACGACGAAGACGAACAACGAGTCCATCGTCGACAAGGGGAGGTTCGCCTTCACGCCCGTGCTCGACGCGCGCAACGCGGGCTACAGCAACCAGACGAACCCCTACGGCCTGCTGCGGTCGCCGTGGAACGTGAACAAGGTGCCCTACCTCCTCCGCTACGACTACGTGCTCAGCGACGAGTACGACGGCTACATGACGTTCCCCAAGTGCTCCCAGTTCCAGGCCTACCTCACGACGAGCCAGTGGATCGGCACGCTCTTCAGCGCGCTCAACGGCGAGCTCCACGGGCCCGTGCACATCATGGTCGGCGGCCTCTGGGGCATGAACGAGAAGGAGTGGGTCGCGCCGCTCGCGGAGAACGAGGACTGGTTCCTGCTGGCGTCCAAGTACATGTGGCGCCAGGGCTACGTCCGCTGCCCGGAGACGTGCTCCATGGACGCGCCCGTGGCCGACTGCTTCTGCGAGTGCCCGAGCGACGTGCTCGCGGGCATGTCGTCGACGGAGGCGCTGAACCGGACGGGCGTGCTCGGGCTCTTTGGCGGCGACGCGTCGACCTTCAACTCCTACGGCATCTCCGACGACCAGCTCCTCTCCGAGCTCTGCCACGTGGGCCTCCCCGGCGAGATGTTCACGTCGGCCGCGCCGCAGGACCCCATCTTCTGGCCCCTCCACGGCAACGCGGAGCGCTTCCTCCAGTACATCCGCCTCGTCGCGGCGACGGGCGTCATCGACCTGAACGAGACCTGGGGCTACGAGCACGTCTCCGACGTCGCGTCGGACACGGGCGTCGTCTGCAACTGGGACAACGCGACGGGCACCATGGGCATGCCCCACTGCACGCGCGAGACGTGCCCGGGCCACCGGAGCGACGACCTCCTGCCCTTCAACAAGCTCACGCCCGTCCAGGACCGCCTCTACACGAACCTCGAGTTCTACGACAAGACGGGGCCGGGCAGCCCGCTCCTCACCTACGTCTACAACTCCCTCTCCTACTGGCCGGGCTGCACGGACGACATGATGATCGTCACCGACGACGGCGACATCGACGACAGCATGGACGACGCGTCGAGGTAGGGCGCGCGGCGTAGCGAAGCCTCTAGCGACGCTCGCGTCGGACCGCCCGGAGTCGTTCCGCGGCCGTGTCCCCGTCGCCCCGTCCCTGGCACCCTGGAGCCCCGCCTCCCAGATCCGCCGAAAGCCCGATGCGAGGCGTCGGCGCGATCGCTGCAGCCCTGCGGCTCCGCTTGAGATCTCGAGAGTGCGTCGTGAAAACCCTGCAGGCCAGGTGGAGGCGGCAAATTTTCGGTGTTGCAGGGCACTTTTAAAACTTATTCAGACGGCGCGAAGCGCCGTCAGGGGCGCCGCGGAGCGGCGCGAGGGGGGCGCAGGGATCACAAAAGGATCAGAGGGGTGTCTGCGGCAGCCTACGCATCGTGGCTACCACCGAAAACATCCCAAAAAGGGGTTAAACAGGGGCTAAAATCTCGTTTTAAATGGCAAAAAATCGTCGTGCCGAGAAACTAACCGCCGCGAGGCGGCGTTGGGTCCGCCCGACGATAGACAGAACGCGTGATCGGCAGGCGAGGCTCAGATGCCCATGGCCCAGGCCGCGGAGCGGCCACCGGTCGATTCAGGCCTGACGCGCGCTCGGGTACCGCGTGGCCGTCGTGCAGCACCACTACGCTGTAGAGGTGCTCCGCGTCGACTGAACTGCCTCCAGAACGAAGATGCGGTGATCATTCGACGCGAAACGTTTCTATCAATGCCCGAACGTCTCGTTTTGAGGCGTTTTGAGCCCCGAATTGGGTCCAAGTCGTCGTCGTCGCACCCGAAAACCAAGCTGACGCCGTCCGATGACGTTCCAAGTCCGACCGTCGGCCTCAGATGCGCCAACAACGTCAGGTCCAGCGAAGGTAGCTCGCGCCTCTCGTCCGCTCGGAGAGGCTCACGCCCTGTAAATGTGGCTCGCCGCGCCGACCCTCGGCGGCTACCTGCCCCAGAGTTTGGGCGCCGAGCGCTGGCTGCATCTATGGGCGACCCTCTGATTTGCACGCCGAGACCAGCAGCACCTCGGATGCGCTCACTTTTCAGCCGCTCGGCGCAGCGTCGCGCACCCGTTTTGAGTCAGCGCGCGTCGGTCGTCGCAGGCAGCTGCAGCGATCACCGCACGGCGTACGCCATATACCACCCAGAGGGCGCCGCGCGCGGGTCCCAGTAGTCGCCGCGCGGCTTGGAGCACGTCGAACGGCAGGGCGCTTTGGGGCGCCAATTATGGCCGTTTTTCAGGCCAGTGTAGGCTACGAATTTCGCCGTCGCGCCAGGAAAAAAGCGCTGCGCATCATCCAACCGACACCTGGAGCTGGTCGGAAGCGCTGGTCGGGCCCGAGGCACCGCGCACACGCGCTCTCGGCGCCGCGGACATCTCCTGGCTTGCCCCTGGAGTGACGCAAACCCTTTGTCCGACAGCCCCTGGAGTGACCCTGCGGCACGGACACACACCCAAACCTTGCACCTCAACACGCCGGATTAGGGCATGGCGGCCACCTTATCGACGTATTAGACGGCGACACCCGCTGTAAAACCGGTCCCGTCAGCAGCGCTAGCACCCCATAGGAGCGCGCAGCCGTTCCAACTGCTCGAAACGAAGACTTTGCGGCCTCGCACGGCCTGCTGGAGCGTCGCAGCGCCTGCGGCAGATGTCGCGGCGCCGGCAGGCTGCGGGCACGGCCAAATCCCGCACGCGGCATCAAGGCCGCCGCCCCGCGCGACCGGAATCTTCGCCGCTGCCCGAGTTCGTCAAGCATCTCGACACGTGCGCCGGGTTCATGGATCGTAAAGACGCGAGCCGTCTCGCCCGCGCGTCCAAGGGCAACCGCGACGCGCTGCTCGTGACGGGCTGGGCGCATGTCGCGCCGGTTTTCGGCAGTCGGGTGCGGTCCGAGATCGTACACCTTTCAATCCCTGCCGGAGGCGGCGCAGAGGCCAGGGACGCCGCGACCGAGCGCCTTGGCGTGGTCGCCTCCGCCATCGTTCCGGTAGGCGACGGCACCGCGCTGTTCTACGGCGGCGAGTTGGCGAGGAACAAGCGGCTGCCGTGCGTGCTGAGCGTCGCGCCGAAGACCGGGGTCGTCTGCGACGCGCCGCTCTGGACCGAGTCCGACGAGTTGGACGCGACGTCGTTCTGCGCGGGCGCGAAGCGCGGGGAGGAGTTCTTGTTCTTCGGCGGTCTCGACCGCTACTTCCGCGTGACGAGCCTCTTGCGATCTGCGGTCTCTCTTCGCAAAAAGACCGGCACGTCGACGGCGAAGAAGTACTTGTTCCGGAGCTACAAGGCCTCGGACGACACGCCGTCGCCGCGGTACGGGTGCTCCTTCACGTATTTCGCGGAGTCGGGCGAGATGTTCCTCTTCGGCGGCTTCACTGCGTCGCAGGCCGGCTCGCTGGCCGTCGTCGCGGACGACGCGAAGCTCTACGTCCTCTCTTCGAGAGACGCCGACGCGGACCCCTGGGAGCGGACGAGCCCCGGCGCGTGGTCTGCGGTCGGCGGCGCCACCGGGACCGGTCCCGGGCCGCGGGGCCTGCACGCCTGCGTCGCCGTCGGGTCCGCGCTCCTGCTCGGGGGCGGGCTGTGCGGCCCGAAAGGCCCGCTCTGCGCCGAAGAGGTCCACGCCTTTGACGTCGACGCCAAGGTCTGGAGCACGCTCGCCTTCGACGGGCCCAGCGTCGGCCTCCGGTACTGCCATGCGATGTTGCACGACGGGGA